GGAGACCTTGTCTCAAAATAAAGAATAAAAATGGATGAGGCTACAGCTCAATGTGATGGCACAATGTACAGTCAAGGGTTAGGACAAACACAATCAAATCAAACATAAAAGTTTTAGCAACCACAAGATTTCTATGATCTTTTGTAGTCAAAAACCTCTCCATCACCTATCTGTGAATGACTGATCTGATTTCTTTCCAGATAGCTTTGTCTTTGCAACAATGTCATGTATATGAGACCCTACATATACAACCTTAGTCTGGCCTTCTTCACTTTGAAAAATATACCTGTGAATCACTCATGTTGCTGTACCAGCAATGAATATATTGTGGTGTCAGGATCAAATCCAGGCCCTCGAGATGCCGGACAAGCATTCTACTACTGAGCTACAACCCCTGCCCCTCCCTTTTTTCACAGATAGGGGTCTCACAATGTTGTCCAGACTGATCTTGAACTTCTAGGCTCAAGGGATCCTTCTACCTCAGTTTCCCAATCAGCTGGAACAGGTACATGTAACTTCATATTTAACTGTTTTCCAATATGACTATTATTTTCTACTGCAACCAACAAAGCAGGAATATAAGGGGTCTGATTACTTCACATCTTGATGTTTGATGCCGTTTGTCTGATGTTAGCCTTTGCGGTAAGTACATTATTAGTATCTCTTTGTGGTTTTAAGTTGCAGTTCTCTGAAAACTAGGTAATTTTTTAATATATGCTAGACATTCACATGATGTGAAATGCCTGTTTGAATCTTTTGAATTTTAATTTTTAAAATGATTTGTCAGTTCTTTATATATTTTACAAACAAATCTTTATATTAAAAAAAACCTTTTTAAGACATATATTGCAACTATCTCGTTTAAACCTGCAACTTTTTTTTTGACAGAGTCTGGCTATGTAGCTCAGGATAACCTTAAATTTACAGCAGTCTTTATGCCTCAGCGTGGGATTCCAGGTGTATGCCACCATACCCTGCCTATTCACTTATTTAAAGGCATCTTTCAATGAAGAGGAATCTTCTGAATCTGTTTTTTTGGGTTTGTTGTTGTTGTTTTGTACCAGGAATTGAACTCACAAACTCACGCTTGCCAAACAGACACTAAGGCCGCTGAGCTAAACCCCCAGCCCCAGGAATTTTTATTTTGACAAAAACCTCTTTTATAAAAACAAAAAAACTGCTTTTATTTTTCCATGGCTACTGAATTCTGTATTCTAAAAAAGTGTTGCCTTCCTTATGTCGAGTTACAGGCAACAAGTTAGTTAGAAACATTATAGGCAGTCAGGGCTGCGCCCTCAAGGGAGCTAGAGCAGAAGTTCAGATTCCTTGCAGTGGGGCTGGGGATTTAGCTCAGCGGCATAAGCGTCTGCCTTGCAAGCAGGCAGTCGTGAGTTCGATTCCCCGGTACCGATAAAAAAGAAAAAGACAAAAAAAAAAAAAAAAAAAAAACCAGATACCTTGCAGCCCTACAAGAGACAATCACCTCCTGCTGTGGGCCAGATCTCAAGACAAAACGCAAAGCAAATACAACTATATCCTAAGGATGGACAGTCCAAATAGTTCTCCATCACCCTTAGGAAGTCAGGAGTCAGCATTCCACCATGCTACAGGAAGATTCACTGCTGTTAAGCCTGCCCGCTTAGTATGAGACTTGCTCCCCCATTTGCTCCTAATGTAATCAATCTACCTAAGCAATTAATCTTATTGACCACAGTTCTGTTCCGCCACATGCTCACTCTGCAAGTTCCCATTTTTCCCCACCTTGGACCCATATCACCTCATGATTTTACTCTATAAAAGCCCCTATAAGAACCCACTCGGGACCCTCCCTTTTTCTCAATAAATATATTCCACTCTTTTTTTTTTTTTTATCAGTACCAGGGATCGAACTCACAACTGCCTGCTTGCAAGGCAGGTGCTTATGCTGCTGAGCTAAATCCCCAGCCCCTGTATATTCCACTCTTAAATCTCTGTTCCTAAAATTCATTCTTCAATTTTATAGAACACGAACTCATACTAGACATACAGTAAATTGGAGTTTCATTCCCCTATATCAGTAGCATCCTATGATTTTATCTTAAAGACACTGTTTTAGCTTTTACATTTAAATCTGTGATTCACCTCAAGTTAAATTTTATGTGTTGAATGAATTGAGATTGAATTTTCTCCTATATGTGTATCAAACAGTTCCAAAAAAATTTTGGTGAAACAGTTTTCTTAAGATCTTTTTTTTCCTTTCCCCACTGAAGCGACTGCATATGATTTAAAAATCTTGTATATATACATCTACAATATTTGTACATCTCATATATATGTATCATACTTATCTTGATTACTGTGGTTTTAAGTGCTGAAGCTAGTTATATAAGATCTTCCGCTTTGTTCTTCCCTTTTGTTGTTTTCTTCCCTTTTAAAATGGACTAGAATATTCTACATCCTTGATACTGTCATATAATTTTAGAGTCGTCTTGTCAATATATATTTAAAAGAATTTTGACAGCTGGGTGTAGGGGCACATACCTGAAATGCTACTCTTCAGGAAGTTAAAGCACAAGGATCATGAGTTCAAAGCTAGCTAGGACTATTAGACAATCTTTCCTTAAAATAAGGGCTTTAGGGATTAGGGTGTGATTATAGTAAATCTATGTAGAGAACAAAAGAGCAATTCTAAGGAGAGGCTGACTGGAGGATTGCTGCAGTTTGAGGCTAGCCTGGGCTACATCCTGAGTTCAAGGTCAGCCTGGACTACACAGCAACACCCTAACCTCAAAAAACCAAAAAATAAAATACCAAACAGGGTCCTGTCATACTGCTCAGGCTGGCCTCAAATTTACAAGCATCCTTCTTAGCATCCTGAGTAGCTGGAGTATACTCATGCACCACTGCACTCAGCTGTTCTCTAGCTTCCATATAAGTTTTTGCTTTAATATGTCAAGTTGCAGGAAAAACCATAGTGTTGTTAATTGGTACTGCACTAAATTTATAGAATTGGTGAAACCATCTTTTTGATACTGATTCGTTCCATCCACAAATATTATACATCTTTTCGTTTACTGGGTCTTCTATGTGTTTCAATACAGGATCATAACTTTCTCCCTATAGAACTACTTAGTTTGTAGTCTAACCCATTTCCAGATACCTTCATTTTGAATGCCATTATGAACCGTATCTATTATTAAAGTTTCTGGTTAATTACTGCTGATATATGGAAGATTTTTACTCAAAAATCTTCCCGAACTTAAGGCCAATTCTTTTTTTTTTTTTAAACTCTTTTTTGAGACAGGGTTTCACTATGCAGTTTAGGCTGGCCTCAAACTCACAGCAATCCTCCTGCCTCAGCTTCCAGAGTGCTAGGATTGTAAGGTGTGTCCAACACCCCGCCTAAAAGCCATTTCTGGTATCTTCTAACCAAAGTAATGTTTTTCACTATCACATCAACATTTTGTATCTTTTTGTTAATTGATCAGAGTGTCCCTTGGCTTTCACTAAAATTAGTTCATCATTGCATCCCATGTGTCTAGAATAATGTCTGACACATATCAGGTGCACAGAATGTTTGCTGAATAAATGGGTAGAAGCTTTAAATATGGGCGATCTTGAGAAACAAGGGAAGGAAAACTGGTTTTGAGAGGATGAGAGACGAAAATGAAATTAATTTGAGAAGTGGAGCTAAGATTACTCACTGCTCATTAATATGCAGGCATCAGGCCAGCACTTGGCGCCCAGAAGTGGCAGTTCAAGGTGAAGGAACTCAGATACCTTACTGATTCTCAAGGAAGAAAATGCAGGCAAGAGGAAAACGCAAAGAAAAGGCACTTGAGAATAAATGAACTTGGGGAAAATTTTTAAAAGAGGGAAAAGATATGGAAACCAATTGGAGAAGATTCGAGGGAAAGTAAAAGGGACAAGCTAGGTTCCTAAGAGCTCACACAGCGGGGCTGGAGATTTAGCTCAGCGGCATAAGCGCCTGCCTTGCAAGCAGGCAGTCGTGAGTTCAATCCCCGGTACCGATAAAAAAGAAAAAGAAAAAAAAAAAAAAAAAAAAAAAGAGCTCACACAGCCAGGTGCGGTGGCCCATACCTGTAATCCCAGCACTCTGGAAGGCTGAGGCAGAAGGAATGTAAATCGAGGCCAACCTGGCCCAGTGTTCAATTCTCAGTGTGGCAGGGTGCAAAAAAAGGAGGTGGAGATCACACAAACATAGGAAACAAAACCAGCATGAGCTTAACTGTAGAAGTACAATTCAACCTAAGAAAAGGAAAGCAAGACCCCAATTGGTAAAAAGAGTCCTCGATAAGACTACCAAAGGAATTAATTTTAGAATCTTCTGGAGTCTCATTTTGGATTTACTACTATCTTTTTTGAAGTCTTATTTTGCATTCATTGTTTTGTTTTTATTGGTTTTGTTCTATTGTTTTTTTTTTTATTACATCTGAAGGTATGGGCAGGTATTTGGAAGACAAAAGGCATTATGGTAACTATGTTGACTCCCTATTATACTGTTTTGAAATCCTGTGTCAGTTACACTGTCTTGTTTTGATTGGTTTTATTCTCTTTAAAATTTTTTTAAAAATAAAAAAATCTCCTGGAGTTTCACTGTAAAATGATTTTTGGGCCCTCCTCATTGCTCAATCTACTCAAATTCCAGAGCCAGAAAGGAACCAGAAGCTGTGGTTTAGAAGGCGCAGGTGTGAGGGATGAGGCTGTTTCCTCCTCCTCATCGCTTCGTGACTACCCCATCGGGTTGATGCGCCTCCCGGCAGGCGCTCTACCACAGGCCTGGTTAACTACCAGAGAAGCGCAGCGAACCGGAAAGAAAACCCAGGTTCCGGAGGGCCTGGCACAGGTCCTCTCGCCCGCTGCAGGGCAGCGGGTCACTGCGGGACCGCGCACCCCCCCCAGGAGCGCTCCGGCCAGGTCACCGCCCACGCCACTCCCCCGCCGCGCTCAACAGCACAGAGCCCTCTCGCCAGCCCCAGGAGCCCTCTCCTCCTTCCTACCTGCCCCGGCGCCGGCTGCGACTGCCCCCAACCGCTCTCAGGGGACACCACCAGCAAGAACGCCAGCACCTCTGCGCTGCTCTCACCCTGCACCCTCCGGCCGGCCGCTGGCCGCACGTGACCCCGCCCCAGCCCAGCTCTCAGCCCCGCCCCTCCCGCGCTCCGCCCACAGGAGCGTCCTGGGCGTGACGGCGCTGGGCGCAGGCGCACTGCATCGACGACGCGAAGGCGCTCTGCGTGTGTGGGCAGAGGTGCGTGGCGATCTGAGTGACTGGGGGAAATTGAGGTGCGTGGCGAACCGCGGTGTCCTGAATAAAGTCGAGGAAGACGGGGAAAGCCAAGAGCCAGTTTTCCGGCTGTTGGGTTACAGTGCCATGTCACGCAACTTCTTCAGGCCTCTTGTGGCTGGGCTGGGAGGCTGTCACGCGTTTGTTTAGAGTGAATTTACCGTGGAAGCGACTTGTTCGCTCCAGGTGTGAAGGTAGAAGGATTAATTTGGGATACGCTAGGCAGTGTCCTTCGAGTTCGTTTTCTTGAGGAATGCAGTTTGTTGAGCGAAGAAACACAAGATCTGGAACCTAGCTTGTACTTTTTTGTTTTCTGAACTGTAACGAAATATTCACTGTGTCTTATCTGTAAAATGAGATGGTTCGAGCTCTGTAATTTCTGCCTCCCTGGATTTTGCCTTTTATTCTGGCTGACAAATCCTTTAGAAAAACGGACCACTTTTGCAGTTGGTTTTAGCACACCAATAATGTAGAAGTATACTTTCATTGGGATTCATTCATTGGCGTTCATTGATTTCTTTACAAGTAGTATTTGTGTATTGTTAATATTCCAAGTAGACCCTTTTAGTTTTGTTTTAAATATGAAAGTGCTGTGTTTTCTTATTGTTAACCCCCTTTCATAGATATTTAATTCACCATTTTGCCTCATTTCAAAGGTAAATCCGAAAAGTATATTGAAGTTGATGCTTTTGAATTTTGTATCACTTTTATTCTCTTATTAGTATTCTTGAAGACATCTGCACCTTCTGACTGGGAAAAGATGGTCAACGTTTTGAAAGGAGTGCTAATAGAATGGTTAGTAATTTTGATATTTTCTGAGTTTTAAATGTACATATTGAATCTTGATTTACATATGTATGTACTTTTCCTAAAATCATATGTGTTTTGTTGTAAGATCTGAAGTTCAGCTTCAGTTTTCTTATGTAAATTGTGGGACAGATTTTGTCACTATTTCTTTGAGGTGCCAAATTTCAGTGTCTTCCGAAAATTCAACCTGGCAGAACAGTGGACTATGTCTCCAGCTTTTTTTGAGACAGGATCTTGGTGGACTCAAAATTAGGAATCCTCCTCCCTCAGCCTCCCAAATAGCATTGATTACACACATAGGCTGTCATAAATGGCTGTGTCCAGTGATTTTTTGACCTATGGTAGCATATTTGTTCGAGTAATCCTATGAGAGAAACAGGGCTGTATTCTCAAGCCATCAGAGAATGATTGGAATTTTAACACCTGCACAATTCAGGAATTTGTAGAAATCTTCATCATTATCAACTGGTCTTTAGAGAAAGATAAAAGTGAGATTTTTTGTCTCAAAATTATAAAGTCGGGCTCCAGGAGACTGGGAGCATGTCTCTCAGAGGTCCTGGGTTCCCTCCCCCAGTACAATACCTATCAGGAGACACAGAGACAGACTAACTCCTTTCCATATCTTTCAAAGGAAGAACTAAAAACTATAATGGGCAGAGTTGAATTCCTTAAAGCAGTCTAATACATAAGGCTTATTCTTCACCCAGTTTGAAACCTGAACTGTTCAATCAATGTTGCTTAGTCTTCACTTGATTGTTAGCCACACCAGTAATTCTCTTATCTAGAATCCCTGCCCAGGGGACACACTTATTGTCTGAAATTACTATTACCTGCCTTTCTGTGCCCCTAATGTGGTCCATTTCATAGCTGACAGTACTGTTCACTGTGATGGCAAGGCTGGGGAAGGAAGATGGGCAAGCCCTAGGATACCTCCACCATTTAGAGAGAAGAACAGAAATAGAAGTCAAGCCATATATGTAGTTTTAAATTTTCTGCTGGTCACATTAAAATGTAAAAAACATGAAATGGTTTAGCTCAAGATATCCTATATATATATGTATATATATATATATATATATACACTAGTCTTGTAAAAAAGTTAATATAGCTTGCTTTTACAGCACATAGTACAGAGACTAATCATTATTTCAACTGCTCTGTAATGAAATATGACTAGTAGGCCAATTTGCTGATAGTGCAGATTTAGACTTTTGACAAGGAAATCCCAACAAAGTCAATGAAAAAGAAAATAGCCAGTAAGCTAGGAAGGAATCTAAGGCAGGATATGTTTCAGAGAGGTGAATTAGTTGTACTGATGAGATGTGAAATGAGACCATTGATACTTATTTAGTACTGATTTAGTGGAGTGGTGGAAAGACTGCCAGTTTAGAGTACAGTACTTGCCCCTTTAATCCTCTAAATGCCCATAACTACAAATAGACCTAACTGAAAACTTAATGCCTTGTTCATCTTAACTAACCATTTATCACACTCTGTGGCCTTAACTTTGGCAATTTCAGATATGACAGCAAAAGTAACAGGTTTTTTGCCTTCATAATTTCTTTATAGAAGATTTTTACTGTGGATTTTAGCAACCTCAGCATATATTTTTTGGTCTTATTAGGACAAGAACTTTCATATAAAGGGAACAAGAAGACAAATTCATTATAAAAGGAAACAACTTGTTAACACAAGGTTATTTATGTGTAGGGATTAAGACAAGCCATTTCATTATCATGCCAATTGAAACTGGAATGTTTGGGAAATTTGGCTGTAATCTCCCTAATCTTGATTTCTCTGCAGGTCAGATGAAATTAGTTTCAGTTTAGTGATTTGGAACTTTAGCATGAGTAATTCCATTTTTTATTTTTAGCTTGGTCTGTACAGGAGCTTTAATCCAAAACGATGGCCTACTATAATTTTTACTTAACAGAGCATACAATAAAGAAGCAAATGTGTTTATATCAGCAGCACATATAAAAAAGCAAGTAAGCCAGATTATTATGTTGGCTTTTTATGCTTATCTTCAGTAAACTGAAAAATCAAGGCACTTGGATATAATAAAATTCTTTCATCTCAAAGATTATCAGATACCAAAACCTAAGGCCAAGACACTGGAGGCCCAGTGGTAGAAACGGTGCTTCGCACAAGGCCCCTGGTTCAGTCTTTGATATTAAAAAACTAAAAACTATAAATTTATACTTCTGTGTCAAAACAAAGTTAGTGAACACTTTTCTTTGGGATTCACCATCGACTGCCAGTTTCACATCCAGCATTTTCCCAAGTCTAGCCAGCCACAGCGCTTACTAAAGCAGCAGCATATGTCCAACATGTGTGAGTCCAATTCCCGGTGCTAAAGCAGACCTCTGGTGTGCGGTTATTAGAGTTGGTTTGGCAAGCACTTCAGAGAAGCTTCATCACAGAGATAGAAATTCAAACCTGTTTACAGCAAAGTAGCAAAGAATATGGTTTAGGTTTTACTTCATTAAAGTGATAGAAATTTATTCCATTTAGAAAATTTGTGTGGATATTAGATTCCAAAAACATTTAACCATTGCTGCCTTATACCTTTTAATAGCACCTTATTATTTAGAATAAATTGGTGCCAGGGATTTAGCTCAGCAGTGTGTGCCTTCCTGGCAAGCATGAGGTCGTGAGTTCAATCCCTTGTACCAGAATAAATTGGTATCATCGATGAATGCCCTTGAGCTCAACAATAACAATATATCACATTTAAACATCAATTTTATAGTGTCCTGTTTGTCTTTACTACCGTGTTACATTTGGAACTGAAGTTTTATTTTACAACACAACTATTCATCCTATTGTGTAAAGTGTATCCTTCCAAGAAAATGTGATTTTTATAGATTATATTGAGAATGTTGTGGGGCACCAGTGTCACCACGTGGTGGTGAGGTGGCACCTTATCCCTTGTTTGTAGGGAATGGAGGAAGTTATTTGGTTATAGAGCACTAAGCTGAGGAGTTTTGCCTTCCTAGTCCTCCAGCTCTCATACCTGTTTACTCCTAAAAATTGCTATTTTAGGAGCTAAGCATTGAGCTCAGCGGCATAGGAACCTGCCTTGCAAGCAGGGAGTCGTGAGTTCAATCCCTGGTACCGATAAAAAAAAAAAAAATTGCTATTTTATTCCTTACCCTAATCCCGCCCCCATATAGTCAAGGAAAAGTTTTTAAACAATCTGAGTATAATGTAACTGGTTTCTTCCTAATAGCAATCTCATTATTCTTTCTGTAATACAGTGTGAAAATACCCGATTAAATTGATTTAGTAAACCCAAGTTTCCTTCTAGAATTTTTCGCTAAGCTCTTTGTGTTTGCCTTGTTGAGATTTCCTTTTTTTTGTCTTTTTCATTTTTATCGGTACCAGGGATCGAACTCACGACCGCCTGCTTGCAAGGCAGGTGCTTATGCCACTGAGCTAAATCCCCAACCAAGATTTCTTAATATATAGTTTATTGCTTTACAAAAATTTATTTAGTTTATTTAGTTTGGTACTGGGGATCGAACTCATGACCTTGCACTTGCCAGGCAGGTGCTTATGTTGCTGAGCTAAATCCCTGGCAAAAAATTTTTTATACTGTGTAATTGCCAAAATTAGGCAGTTCTAAAAATGTGAAATTTAGTATTTTCTGTATCTGTTTAAATCTTTGTAAAACATTCAATCCATCACCATATTCTTCTGCTTTGAGACCCTCATTGTCATGCACTTTATGTCTACTTTTCCTGTTTTTCATTTCCCCCAAAAAGTCAGACTCCAAACCCATCCATCATCAGTTGTATTCTCATTGTCTTATGTCTCCGTTCATCTACTTTCAATATATTTCCTACCTCCCCCACAAAATCCTTTCCACACACTCTTCAGCCCACAGTAAGATAACAGTAACAGGATCCTGTACCTTCAACCTCTTCTCTGAACATTCCCCTTCCACCCACTCATGTATCTTGCTCCTAATTGCCATTTTTGAGAAATTCTCCCTTTTCCACAGAAACCCCCAGTTATGAATCTCAAGTTCTCAGTCAGCACCACTCACCAACCCTCTTTGTAATCATCTACAAACACCCAAATCTTTGATGAATGTTTTCCTTTGAAGGCTACTGTCAGCAGTTTAGTAGCTCTCCTCTCAAATCCTTAGTGATTTTGGTGTCTATGTGGACAGTCTTTCAGTACTCCATCCTCTCTAGTCCCTGTGTGCCAATGAGCTTGTCCTTCACTACGCCCAGCCACTTATTCACTAGTCATACCTAGACCTGTTCTTTTCAAAACTGCCATCTCTTTAAAATCTCATTTTCAGACGTCTGACTCTGATCATTACCTCTTCTTTCCAAAGCAGTTCCCTCTAGTATTCGTTCCGTATTTCTTCTTCAACTGCACCAGACCTGCAACTTGTTGTCCTCCCACCTTTTGGTTCCCACATCTCTTTATATTTCCACTCCTCTGCTTGTAGTGAAATCTCTCAGACATTTTTCTGTTCACTTTCTCTAACTGCTGTCCAATTCTGAGACTTGCTTTAGACAGGCTTTCTCACCGCTCATCCAAATTGTTCTGATCAAGCTCAGTAACATTCTGAATCCAGTGGTCATTTTTGGTCCTTGTCTTCCTATTAGCAGCATGGACACAATTGATCACCTCCTCTTTCTGAGTAGCCTTTGTTCATTGAGCTCCAGAATTTTGAGATTTTCTTTATCTCAGTGATCATTTCTTCATCATTTCCTTTGCTTTATTCTTTTTCTTTTTTTCCAACATTTTGATACTGGAATGTCTAGGAGGTCCTTGGGCTCTTTCTGTAACTATATTTGCCCTCTTGCTGACTTTGAGTACATTTACATGTCAATATTGAATTTTATTCTTCACCAGTCATTTCCAGAATTGTATATCCAGCTTTTCAGCTTCTTCACTTGGGTATAATAGACATGGCACATGTAACATGCCTAAAAGTTAAGTTCTTGATCTCATGTGCAAACTTGTATTCTTCTCATCTTGGTAAAACACAGCTCCATCTTTTCATTTGCTCAGACCAAAATTCTGAGTCTCTGCTCTCCAAAAGATCCTTACTAGTGTCTGCAGATTGTTACCAGAATTCAACCACTTTTCATTTCCACTTATACCACAAGCCCAAATTATTATTTTCTTTGTTTAGATCACTCCATACATGTTTCCCTGTTTCTGACCTTACCTTTTGATCGCTCTAATCTATGTGATCCTTAAAGTTAGTTTGTATATTAAATCATGTCACCAGTAAGCATTCAGATCATTTCCAAGGCCCTTATTCTTCTAATCTTCAAAATAAATCCTGTGGTAACTTCATTTAATACTTGTCCTTGAAAGAAGTATACTATTGTTTTCAGTAACTTACACTGGCCTGTTTTATATTGTTGTCTTTGCTTCTGATTTTGACATTCTTCAACACATGAAAAGAGTGAATAAAATTATATTTTCTTGGAAAATTACAAAAATCTGTATTCAACTTGCCATTTTTATAGTCATCTTTTGCTAAACACTTTTTTAAATTAGATTTTAAAGTGTCTTTTGTCATTATTTGAGATTTTTATTTAAGAATCACATTTTAACACTGGGTATAGTGTTACAGGCCTTAATATCAGCACTCAGGAGGCAGGAGGATTGCACTGAGTTCAAGACTAGGTTGGACTACATAAATCGGGAGATCCTGTGTCAAAGAACCAAACACTGAATGTAGTGGGACAGGCCTGTAATCCCAGCACTTGGGAGGCTGAGGCAGGATGATCACTGTGAGTTCAAGACCATCTCAATTACATAGTGAAACCCTGCCTCAAAAAACAAACAGAAAGTCATATTCTTATCAATCAATAATGCCCACCAAAAAATTTTATTCCTCTTTCTTTGATGACTAAACTATTCATTGCAAACTAAAAATTATAAGAATTAAATTTGGATTTCTTCTTTGAATTTAATATTCTAAAAGAATTCTACTAGAATTTCTTTTAACGTATTACTGCCAGATTGAATCATTGGTGGTACAAATTTAGTCACTTTTATGGGTCTTTTTACTAATTAATAAAAAACCAATGGGACAGTCATGTATGCACTTCTGGTGATTTAAGCCACTCTGCAGCTAGCCTACAATGCAAACCAAACACTGTCCTTGGTATTTAGTGCCTTTAATTTTCATGACAATTTTTATATATGCTCACTAGGAACAAAGGAAGGTTAAGTACATATTCAAGGACACATAAGTGAGTGATGAAGCAGAATTAAATCTTGATATAACTTTTCCTATAAACCCTGCCTTATCAAAGCATTATTTTACTTGATTTGTCACAGACAAAATAATGAACAATTATTGATTTCTTGAATATATCGTTGTGGATAGTGTCTTGGTTACTTTTCTCTTGTTGCTGGGACAAAATACCCGACACCCAAAATGAAAGAAAAAAGGTTTATTTAGTTCACAGGTTGTGGAGGTTTCAGTCTGTAAACAGCTGACACCAAGACAGGGTAGCATGGCACAGGGGCAGTACTTCAGGGAAGCAGAAGACAGCAAAAGCAGCAACAGCAAAAGTGGGGGGAGTAAGACTGTTTTCCTCCCTTACATTATAAGCAGGCTGTCCACCCACACCATTTCCATGCCCTCTTGCACAGGCTCAGGATGTTTATAAAATGAGGACCCTGGACCCCTGTTGAGTCACTTAGTTAAGCTTCTTAAATTTCTCAACCCTCAAGTTGACACAGTTTATCAACCATTACAAATAGATAAGGGAATTTATTTTTAAATCAGTTAAAGTTGCTATGATTCTAGGCCCTGTGAACTACACAGTTGGAATACTTTAGTTTTTTTTTTTTAATTGGTAGTGACATATTAGTCTTTAGAGATCTTACCATTGGCCTCTTTCTCTGAAACTTATATTCTCCGTCCTAAAATGAAATCATATCTATAAATCATTACTACTTGAAGTAGAGAGGAAATGACAAATTGAGTAATAGTTCAGAACTTTAAACATAACTGGGACAAACATAACTGCCTAAGTCTTTGTGGTGTGGTTAAACCACAAGATGTCTTATAATTGTGTGTTTAACTCTACAGTGATCCTGCCATGAAACAATTTCTGCTGTACTTGGATGAATCCAATGCCCTAGGGAAAAAATTCATCATTCAAGATATTGATGATACTCACATCTTCGTAATAGCAGAGTTGGTCAACGTCCTCCAGGAGCGAGTAGGTGAATTAATGGACCAGAATGCTTTTTCTCTTACCCAGAAGTGAAAAAACTAGATACTGGATACTCGGAAATTACAGGAAACAAACATGAAAAGCTATCTCTATTCAGTATCTTAATTTGATTACTTTGAGGATTCCCTAGGAGAATGCTGTGGGGAAGATTAAGATCCTTTGTTCATACAAAGCCCCTGAACTGATTTTCTTGTTTAAAAAAAAAAAGTTTGAATGTGGCTATAATTTGGTAATTTGGCTTTTGTTATCTTTTATGAAAATATAAATGTTTCTCTTACCTTTTGTGTGTTACGTGTGTTACTGGAAATTATACCAAGGCCTTGTGATTCTGGGCAAGCAGTCTACCACTAGGTACACCTCCAGCCCTTTATTATCTTTTTTAATACGTTAGAAACATAATGAGAGCAAGGTATAGCAGCATGTGTCTGTAATCCCAGCACTTGGGAGTGGCAGGAGGATTGTTGCAGTTTTGACCCCAGCATGGGCTACATAGTACAAGGCCAACCTAAACTGTATAGTGATACTATGTCTCAAAAAGCCAGAAATAAGAATAAAGTGTGCCTTAAATTACCAGAATAGCCTAGATACTTATTTTACTTGTAGCTATTAATGATTGTGGGGTTTGGAAGTATGAATATCATTTAAACTCAAATTGAAATTTTACCAATTGACTGTTTAAATATGCTAGGGTGAAAACTTTGACAGTATTTATGTCTCACAAATAATATGTGTGCCCCAGCCAGCTTCTATTGGTTAAGAACATATGAACATAAATTACCATTTTCATTTCCGTTAAAGAAAAAAAATTTTAAGTACAGACAGTTAGAAACAACTAAATGGGGATGGCAGGTGCTGCTTTGCATCTTAAGTTTTTCCTTTTTCAAATTTTGTTGGTTACATTTTTCTTTTTTTTTTTCTTTAAACATTGTATTTTTTATTAAGATTATAAAAAGAAATCAGACATTTATGTGTGATTTATAAAAAAAGAAAAACATTTTAGGATAACTGTGTTTGAGGGAGTTTTCCTTTCCCATCCAGGCTGTTGGGTAATGGCACACCCAAGGCAAGCCTTCTCTCTAATAGATGAATCATCTACACCTAGAACTATGCTAAACCAACAGTGGACTAATCCAGTATCACACACTTATGATCCAGCCACCTCCCAAAAGCCTCATGTATGATCACATGAGGCTTCTGGAGGACATCTAGATGTAAGCCACAGCACTGATTAAGTGTTGTCAGAATAATGGTATTAAAAGCATACAGTAAGTTGGGTGTGGTGGTGCACGCCTGTAATCCCAGCATTCAGGAGGCTTCAGCCTGGAGGATCAGCAGGAAGATCATTGTGAGTTCAAGACTAGCCTGGGCCAGAAAGTGAGCTCATGGCCAACCTGAACTGCTAGTGAGACCCTGTCTCGAAAAAAAAAAAAAGAAAAAAAAAGGGACCAAAAAAAAAAAAGAGTAAAACAGGGAATTATATAAAAAATTCATTTCTGAAAGAAAAATGATTTTTGAGGGTCTCGCTATGTAGTTCAGGCCAGTTTTGAAGTAACTGTACCCAGACTGGCCTCAAACTCCGCAATCTTCCTGCCTCAGCCTCCCAAGTGCTGGGATTATAGACATATGCCACCATGCTGGGCTTAAATAATGTTTCACAAACTAATTTGTTCTCTATGAGAGTCCCTATTAAATTTAAGAAAAGTATGAACAAATTGAAACAGTCAACCTTATGGGGAGCAGTATATTAGGTTAAAATATATTGCACACAGCTCTGTGATTGGTCAGAGGCAAAGACAGTAACACATAGGGACTCTGCTTCCCCTCCTGAAGATAGCACTGTTGTGATAGGTTGCTGGTGGAAATTTTCCATCAATAAAAAAAGAACTTTGATGATATGTGAAAATCGTATCAAACTTAGCTTACCTGCTTCATTTTGGTATGTGTAATCAAAGTATCCTTGTGATATTTTAATTCACTTAAACATGCATTACTGAATCTGGAAATTTTTACAGACAAGTGAATTTATCATGATTCCCACACATATAAATTCAGTTTTGATTTCCACATAGTAATGCAGAATCTTCATAGGTTACTAATACATTTGTTACTACAACTTGCTAAACTGAAGATATGTTTCTTCAGAACTTCCAGCTGTACTAAAGTCTTACTGAATCTTTTACTTCAGTCATGGCTAAGTCAATTTTTAATATGCCTCACACATTTGTTACCTACTACCTTATATTGAACATGAACTGAAGGAAAACTTTTCTTAGAATCTAAGGGTTAAGATATGGAGAAAACTATTGAACAAGAATTGTAAAGAGTGTTGAGTGACATCAGAGGATCAGGGGATGCAGCATTAGCTGGTGCAGAAGAGGGTGGCATAGCTTTTTCAAAGACAAAAAACATGTCTGGAAGTTTCTCTGCTGGAAAAATGGCCCTGCTCCCTATTTATAATTGCTGTAGGAAATAATGCAGTAGCATTTTGCTGTTTTTTGGGGCGCATTCAGTAGTCTGGGAACAAGTTGGTTGTGCTAAACTAATGAGTGGTGTAGAAAAACGGACGCTCTACACATCCTCCCAGAGGCTCACCACGTGTATTATCATCTCAAGTCAAACCCTGCGACTGTCCTCTGTCAGTGAAATTGTTATGTTACTGAAAATCAGCAGTATCAATGGCTAGAAAACGTTTTCAGCTCCTGGTCCAAAGAACATGCAGGTATCTGTTCTCACATGTTAACATGTCACCAACTATAAAACCTCCAAATCTACTGGCAGCTTGTCTTCTCTTTTTCTGAAAGCCTTGAAAACACAGAACTTCAAAGATCCTGCATGTTGCTCTTGTTAGAACATCTGAATATCATATACAACCTTCCTGCATGAGTGCTGAGTTACTGTCAGGTGTGGCAGTTCCCAGCAATCCTGTGCTACACCAACATGATGATGCTAGACCTCCTGATGGCAAAGGCGTTTAGGCCCATACTTTCTTCCAGAAGCCTGAAAGGGCTGGCTAAGAACATTCCCCAGAGCACAGAGATTCTGAAGAAACTGATAACAAATTCAACTCAGAGTAACATACATAATAAGCTGGAGGATCGTCCTCTGACGTCTGCCAGCCTCTCTACTGCTAAGGGGTACAGCAAATACTGCTCTGTAGGTTACTTTAGGAGGCTCTACGTTGAGGGTGATAAACTTCAAAAAAAATTTTTTAGTGTTGAGTGAAGAAAATTATTTTATTAGCTATTGTTAGTTAAGAATTGTGTGCAGGCACATGTTATATATTCTTCAGATGCTATTAAGAAGGATCAGACCCATGCCACTGGAAGGCCACTTTTAGCAACTTAGCTCAAATATTTGAAATTTGATTGGCATGGTGTGGTAGATTAACTAATGATCAACTTGTAACACCCAGCTGAACTGAATCAGCATGGTGCTGGGTGTGGAAGACCCACTTGAGGACTGGTCAGCAGCATAAAAAGAACTAGGGATGATGGTATGCTATTGATTTTTCTACAGAAGCCTGTTATGCTGGCTTTCCTGATAAGAACTTGGCTGTCAAAACTGCCTCAACGAAAGTGAAGATAGAATTTCAGACCTCAAAGACTAGATTGCAGCTAGTGAACAGGAAAGGAAAGATCTTCTTAAAAAAACAAGGAATCAGGAAATAACAATTCAACAGCTGCAAGAGGATGCAAAGAAAAACAACATAAGACTAATAGGGATAAATGAAAAAGAAGGGAACAACACAAATGATATCAAAAGGCTATTCACAGAAGTCATAGCTGAAAATTTCCCAAACATGAGAATGGAAACTGACATTAGTGTTAGTGGATATAGAACTCCAAATAGCCATAACCAAAATAAAACTACACCCAGACATATAGTAATCACCAACCCAGAAACCCAACATAGGAATAGAAAAGCTGTCAGAGAGAAAAGACAGATCACCTATAAAGGAAAGCCTATCAGAATTACAGCAGACTCCTCAGAGTGAAGCAGACTTCTGGAGTGAAGTATTTCAGATCCTGAAGAAAAATGATTTTTAACCTAGGCTGATGTACCTTGCAAAACTGTCCTTCAAAATGGATGGAGAAATAAGATACTTCCCCATGACAAAGAACAGCTGAAGAATTTCATGAACACCAAGGCAACCCTGCAAAGAATACTGAAAGACAGTCTAGATACATATAGGAAAAAACCACTTAGCACGGTACACAAACAGAAAGGAAAGATAAAGATGCAACAGCAGAAAGATAATATGTTAACAATAAGCCATTATATAACAGTTATAACCATCAATGTGAATGGTCTCAATTCACCAATTAAAAGAAACACACTGGCAGAATGGATCAAGAAACAACATCCAACCATATGCTGTCTGCAAGAAACCTATCTAACTCAAAAGGAAACTCACAGACTGAAAGTCAAAGGATGGAAAACAATACTTCAGGCAACAGGAACTGAAAAAAAAAGTGGGGGTAGCTATTTTGTTTGCAGATAATGTGAACTTCAAACCAAGAATGATCCTAAGAGATAAAGAAGGTCACTACATACCAGTTATGGGAAAACTTAAAGAGGAAAAGATAACTATCTTAAATATATATGCGCCAAATTCCAGAGCACCCAGCTATACAAAGCAAGTGTTAGTAGAAGTGAAAAATCAAATTAGCAATAACACAATTATAATAGGAGACCTTAACTCACCACTGACACCAAAGGCCAGATCAGCCAGACAGAAAATCAGCAAAGAAATAACAGAACTGAATCACACCTGTGAACAAATGGACTTGATACAGACTTGATACAGAGTGTTCCATCCAATAACATCAAAATATACATTCTCAGCAGCACATGGGATATTCTCTGAAATAGACCATATATTAGCTCATAGAACATATTTACATCAATGCAAAAGAATTGAAATTATCCCATGCATGTTATCAGATCATAGTGCCATGAAACTATAAATTAATGATAAACTGCAAAAACCCAAAAAACATGTGGAAATTGAATAATACACTTTTGAGCAATCAGTGGGTCACAGAGGAAATTAAAGAAGAAATTAAACAATACATACAAGCAAACAAAAATACAAATAAAACTTACCAGAATCTGTGGGATGCAATGAAAGCAGTCCCCAGAGGAAAATTTATTGCACTCAGTTCTCACATCAGGAAAATAGAATGAATACAAATAAACAACCTGTTGCTACACCTCAGACATCTAGAAAAAGAACAAGTCAAGCTGAAAGCCAAAAGAAGGGAGGAAATTATAAAA